TTGGTCTCTTTCGATGTTACCTCCCTTTTCACAAATGTGCCAGTTGTTGAGACTATCGACTTCATATGTAAAGAAGCTGAAGACATACCCATTCCAACATCGGAATTGAGGAAATTACTACTTTTATGTACTAAAAATGTCCAATTCCAATTCAACGGGCGTCTGTTCCGTCAAGTTGATGGTGTCGCAATGGGAAGCCCTTTGGGACCACTTTTCGCCGACTTATTCCTGTCACGCCTAGAAACCGGTGCTTTACAGCAGCACATACAAGAAACAAATGTATACCTAAGATATGTTGATGACATTTTTATTGTCTGTGAAAGCAGATGAAAAGCGGAAGACATGTTGATAAAATTCAATTCATGCCATCCAAATCTCAATTTCACAGTAGAACACGAGGAAAACGATACTATGAAATTCCTAGACGTTTTTCTAGCCAAAATGAATGATGGCACAATCGAAAGATCTATATTTAGAAAGTCTTCATGGACAGGACAGTACATGCATTTCAAGAGCTTTGTCCCAATCCAGTACAAAAAGAACCTAGTCAGAACACTGTTCAATAGAGCACGGAAAATTTGTTCTGACAGTACTATTGAACAGGAAATAAAATCTCTGAAGGATATTTTATCTAAGAATGGATATCCTGAGAAGTTCATTAATAAATACTCCAAAGAAACTACCCCCCGCAAAACGATTCAAACAGTTCCAAAGAAACCTGTTTATATCAATTTACCGTTCAAAGGAGATGACGTACAAGAAGTAGTGAAACGAAGACTCGACAAAGCCATCAAGAGAACTTATTATGCTGCAAAACTTGTTATCCTTAACACCACCAAGCGAGTGCTTCAACAATCTGGGAAAGACCAGTCGCCAATCCTCGACACTTCAAACTGCATATATCAATTTGAGTGTGTTTGTGGCAGCAAATACATAGGTCGTACGGAAAGGCGATTGTCTACTCGCATGATGGAGCATTTGCCAAAATGGTTGAAAACAGCTGAGTTCAAAGTGCCAAAATCCTCAATAACAAAACATCTTGTAGATTACGGACATGATATCGACGCAGTCAAGTCATTTACCATTGTCAGCAAACAAAGAAACAAGAAGATGCTTGCAATTGCAGAGGCTTGTGCAATTCGAATTTATAAACCAGCTCTCTGTATACAAAAGGAGATGGTCGTAACTCTTAATCTACCATGGTAATACGTTTTATTCTCTACTTGTTATTATTCTACCTCTTCTTATTATTATTTTTGTTATTATTACTGCCATTATTATTATTCTTGATTCATTTAAATCTATGCTTTATCCGTAAGATTATCTTAACTCACTTCAACACTATTATTATTATTGTTATTATAACTATTACTATTGATATTAGTCTGTTTGCAATTCTAGTTATATTCCCTAATGACTAATTGTTTATCTAAGTGATGTAATTGAAGCGTAATGCAATTTATCTTAATTTTGATCTCTCATACTCTCTCTCTCCCCTTATCTATTTGAACATGACCTGGAAAATATTCGCACCTGTCTCTCTGCATGATTAATTCAATGTAGTTTGTTTACTTATCAGCCTTATGTCTCCCTATGTAATTTCAAAAGTATATATATTCGTGTACGTAGAGTATTCAACTTATCAGTCTTATATCTCCCAATGTAATTTCAAAAGTATATGTATTCGTGTATGTAGAGTATTCAGCTGACGAGTTCTACCGAAATTTGATGAATTCATTAAATCCTGCTTTATTAACCTTTATTGCTTGTTTTAAATTCGTATCGGGAAATAAATGTTTTCAAATGTTAATATCTCCGAATAATTTTGCCTACTTTTAACTCCAGTGGTTTTTTTATCATAATAGTCATTTTAGTCCAACCATTTTTCCCCACCCTCTAATATTTTAATTTCAAAGTTTATAAAATTACTTCTCTTTTTTAATAAATAATATTTATTCAGTGCCTTTCGCATGATTTATTTATTTATTTATTATTATTTTTTCATAAGTGTGAACATAATTTAAGCTGTGTTAACTGCTAATTTTGTATTTCCCCCTCACTATACTATATCAACAGAACATTCGATTCAATAATCTATAGTAACATGCTTAAATTTCCAAACTGAATCGACAATACTGTTTGAAACAAACTCACTGTTATTATTATTATCAGTAACAATATTATTATTATATTTAATAATCTCAATTCGTGCTTTGAATATTTTTGACTTTATATCGTAGACGTGGACAAATTCCTCCGGTTACTTTTGTTTTAATTTTTAGTTTTATTTATATTTTAAGTAAATCACATGCAATATTGTGACAAATGCTGAAACTTTCATTCCCTATTATAAGCACTGTTTTTGGAATAAAGT